CTGTAAACAGCATATGGTTGGATTTTGTTTCTTGATCCATTCTGCTAGTCTGTTTCTTTTGATTGGTGCATTGAGACCATTTACATTAATAGTTATTACTGTTAAATGCTGGTTTATTGTTGGCATGTTATCTCTCTGCTGTTGCATCTTTATCTTTCTGTTCTGTTTAATTATTTGCTTTGCTTAGTGGTTTTTTCCTTTGTGTATCTAAACTGTCTTTCAGTATCTTTTGCAGGGTTGGTTTTGTGTTCATGAAGTTCTTCAGCTGTTTTTGTCATGGAATTTCACCATCAATTCTGAATGATAGTTTTGCAGGATACATCAGTTTATGTTGGAAATCATTTTGCTTTAGGATCTGGAATACTTCACTCCATGCTCTTCTTGACTTTATCGTTTGTGCTGAGAATTCTGCTGTGATTCTGATAGGTTTTCCTTTATAAGTGATCTGTCTTTTCTCTCTGACAGCTTTTAATAATCTATTCTTGTGTTGGATTTCTGTGACGGTGATTATTATATGTCTGGGTGTAGTTTTATATGCTTCACTGATCCTGATGTAGTTTCTGATCTCATGCTTGGGAAATTTTCAGCTATTACTTCTCTAAATATCCTCTTGATATCCTTTATGTTGTCTCCTTCTTTTTCCTTAATCTCTATCATTCTTATGTTATTCTTCTTTGCATCGTCTTGCAGTTGTTGAATTGTTGTTTCCTGATTCCTTGTTATTTTTAAAAGATCTTTCCTTTCCTGTTCACTAGCTGCAATCCTGTCTTCAAGGTCTGAAATTCATTCTTCACTTTCATTAAGGCGGTTTTTACAACTTTCAGTGGAGTTTTTTATTTCCTGTATATCTCTGTGCATCTGCATTATGTATTCTGTTTCTTATATTGCTCGTCTAGGGATTCTATTTTGTTTAGTTCCCCCAATTTTTTATCTGTGTTTTCTTTAGATATATTTAGAATCTCTTTCATTTCTTTTATCATTTCTTCTTTTATCTGGGAGATTATTTCGAGTTTGAATTTCTTTAAAGCTTCCTGGAGTTGCTTGTCAATTTCAGTAGCTATTGTGTCCGATATTTGAGGTGAATGGCATATATTTTCTTCTATATACATTGCTCCTAGGGTTTCTTGAGATGGGCTGGAGGTTTGAGGTTGTAATTTGGTCTTTTGTTTTGTCATTTTCCTATATTTCTGTGTTTCAAGTGTTAAAAGCTTCCTCAGGATCTGTTGAAAATCCCCTTCTATGTTTACAGCTACTGAGACTCTGGCACCACGCTACCCCAAGCCATTGGGCCTGCAGAACCAATGGGCCTCCTCTGCCTGCTCAGAACTCCACAGTTCCAGACAAGCTGGGCCTCAGGGACACTGTGTATCCACCTGCCCCTTGGAAGCTCCACAGTTCTTCAATCGCAGCCGGGTTAGGGTACTCACCACAGGCCGCGGTGCCTCAGGAGCCTGTGGTCCCTCCCTGCTTGCAGTATAACCATCATTGTGATGGTTACATGACAAAAACACCACAGTACTGAGAAACAAAACAAACCTGTGGAACAGGAAAGGTCAGTGGAACAGGAAAAAAGATGTAGACACAAGTCCAAACATACTCAGCTACCTTATCTTTTACAAAAGGTTCAAACATCATTATAGAAAGGGTACCACTTTAAAAAATAGTGGGAGAAAACTATTTTCCACATTCCAAAGACTAAAACTAGGCCTGTATTTCTCATTAGGCAATGAATCAATCAATTATTTAAATATTAAAACAGAAACATTAAGCCTGCTGCAAGAGAAAAAAGGTTGAAATCTTGAAGACACAGGTATAGGCAAAGACTTTATAAACAAAAATCTAATCTCCCAAAAAAATCACAAAAAATCCACAACTGAGATTCTGTCATACTAAAAAGCATTTGCACAGCAAAAGAAACTAAAAACAGAGTGAAAAGACAACCAAGACAAGGGAAAAATTTTTTATCATTATTCCTCAAAGGAATATCTAGAATATATATTTAGAATTTATGTATAGAATATATGAAGAACTCAATAAAATCAGACCCTCCAAATTTAAAGCCAAAATCCAAAAGTGGGCATATGAAATGAATACATACTTCTTAAATGAGGAAATACGAAAGGCAAATAAATACATGCAAAAATGTTCAAGATCACTAGTCACTTAGAAGATGCAAATTAAAACAACCCTGAGATTCCATCTCACTCCACAAAGAATGGCTATTATCCAGAAACCAACCAATAACAAATACTGGAGGGGCTGTGGGGAAAAAGCAGTCCATATGCCCTATTGGTGGGAGTACAGACTGGTGCGAACACTGTGGAAATAAGTGTGGAGATTCCTCAAAACCCAGGCCTACAGGTTCCATTTGGCCCAGTTGTACCCCTTCTTGGTATCTTCCAAAGCAATGCAAAGCATCATATCACAGCAATATATGCAGGCCCATGTCGATAGCAGCACAGTTTATAGAAGTTAAGTCCTGGAAACAACCCAAATGCCCATTAGCTGATGAATGAATGCCGAAGATGTGTTCCTTTCATACAACGCAGTACTACTCAGCCATAAAGAAGGATGAGCTTGAGACATTTCTAGGTAAATGGATACACACTGAGTCAGCTCTTAAATGAAGTTAATCAGACACGTGTTCAAATGTTGCACAGTTTACGTACTGTGACAAACTCAAAGTGTAAATGAGGACCAAAATGTATATTAGAGAGTGTGAAATAGAAAGACAATGTTCAAATGAGAAAGGGAGCTAGGGAGAGGAACTGGGAGGGAGCTGGGAGAAGAACAAGAGAGAATAGAAGGAAAAAATGGAAGTACAGCTGCTGTAAACGAGGCGCAGAAGAGCAGTCAACGGGAAGAGAGGGAAAGGGGAAAAAGCTGCAAGGTACATCATACATGGGTACAAATTCCCAATGATGAGTGCTAGCATCATGCATATCTAAAATGCACAAAAACAGCGGCATAAGCGCCTGCCTTGAAAGCAGGAAGTCGTGAGTTCGATCCCCGGTACCGATAAAAAGGAAAAAGACAAAAAAATAAAAAAATAAAAAAATAAAAAAATAAAAATAAAATGCACAAAAATTAATTTAAAAAGAAAAGAAATTAATTCCTGGCTGGGGCAGTGGCTCAGCCATACAGCACTTGCCTGCACAAAGGCTTGGGGTCACTCTAAAGCACTAGGTAGGGAGGAGCAGGGAACAGTAAATAACTGCTCAAAGTCACAATTAAGAGGAGGAAAACCAGTGCTTCAAACCAGGTACATATGCCTCTGCTTTCGTTCAGTTCACATGGCTGCAAGAGATCTTGCTGAGGAACAAGAGGAATTTACTGACATGACACACACGGAAAAATTAACTGGGACTCGGGGAAAATGAGGAACACATGTCCTTGGCAGGATGCACTTCTTCCAGGTGGGAAGCACAAGCCTGGTCAGCCTTCCAGCAGCTCCAGGAGCCTCACGAATAAGAAAATACCACGATTGTTATTCTGTTGGGTGCTAAGTTGTCCGATGGAGCTCCAATCTGACTTCCTTAGCCCAATACTTTCTGATCACCCACGTCTTTTAGTCTGCACCCAGCCTGCTCTTCAATCCCTCTGCCAGGTAAATCCTTTTCCTGTGGCTTAGTTTCCAGTCCCCAAACACAGACTGATGAGCACCGCCTACTCCCTCTCTAAAGGTAGCTTGCAGGTCAGTCTACATACTGCTTGGCAATGGGCCTGAACTAACCATCCTGTGCATTGCTGGTTCGCCTGCCTTGGAAATGATGACCCAGTATTCAGGACTCAGCTCATTCTCCATACCACTTTGGCCACCTGACAGAGTCCAACACAGCGCAACACAGGCACGCACATACACCACGTGCACGCATACACGTACACACACACACACTATGCACAAATGCTGCCTTAGGTCACACATTTATTACACCACCTTGCACTTAATTTTGTTGTAGTTCTTAGAGCTAACTAAACCTACTTTATTCACGGTTCTTGACAACTTGGGGAACCTGAACTACATAAAAGGAGAAATATTTTCCTGCCTTGTTCTTCTCTGATTTCAGATCTTTGGATAGAGCATTTAGCACCTCAAGGGCATTTAATAAAATTCTGATAAATGTGTAAGTACCCAGTTAAGACATACAGGGGCGTAGCCATAGGTTTCTGCTCTTCACAGATGTGGGTAGAACGATGTCCTGACTTGAATATCCAGTCCAAGCTCCATCCTTAATGGCAGAAATCTCCTGTGCTTTGTATTTCTATCAGCTTTTCATAGGTGAAGATGAGACTTCGAAAAGTGATTTAATCAAGCTCAGAGGGCACATGGCTGAGCCCAGGGGAAAGGTCTCTGCAGTTCCCTCATGCCCTTGAACATCATATTCCATGACCCTTCCTCTCTCCACAGTAAGTAAGGTAAAAGAAAACACTACGCTAAGCAATTTTAGAATGACAGCGTACAACAATGCAGAAAGTAAGTAATCATCATTTCTCTTCCCTGTGAACCTAATTAGGGAGCTCATCATTCCACAAGCAGCACAGGTCAACCGCGAGTAAACACCAGGAGAGATTAAATCCCACAGCAACAGATTCAGCTCAGCACTGCTGAAGACATCTCCTGTCACCTTCTGAGACATGAGGGGCTCCGTGGGAATTCAGGAGCAAGATCTCTCGCCCATGTTTACCATGGAACCCCGCGCCAGGTCTGTGGCGCACAGGCTCCAGAGTGGCAATCACTAAACATTTCAGAAAACCGCTGGGCAAACATTCTCTAATGTAAGGAAGGAGGCCCACAAGCAGCTCCCCAGCCCGCGGGTTCTCCGAAGGTCCCGCCCTCCATGGCTAGCCCTTCCCCTATTGGCCTATCGCCCGTCCATCACGAGGCCCCACGGCTCCGCTCCGCCATCCCCGCTCCCTGCCTCGGCCCCTAGCGACCCCTACCCCGGGGTCTGACCTTCCAGGACCCCTTCTCCGAGTCTTTCGCTCAGAGCTTCGTTCACCTTTCTTCCCGAGGGTAGCACCGCTTTGCTGTTTCCTGGTCCCAGACAGTTCCTGGGAACTTCTGCTGCATTGGAATCACCAGCCCCTTCAGCCACAACTCTGAGGGGCGTGACAACGTTGCCACGCCCCCTTACCACTGCGCCTGCGCACTAGGTAAGTGAGGGGAAGCTAGGCTTCTGGGAAGGGGGAGGCATTGCTTTGGTAGCACTGAGCCTCCGAGCTTGCGCAGTGTTCCCTGGCCAAGACTGAATTTTCAGGGCCCGGAATCCCTGAACTGTGCTGACCCTAAGAAGCTGTGGTGGGCATCTTGGTTCACAATCCGACCCTAATATCTTCCTCCTAGAACCCGCCCAGCAGTCTGAGTGTTTGATAGACACCTGCAGTTCCATTTCTTTGCTTCAAATTCTTCCCTGTTTCTTTTGTGTCTGTGGTCCCAGGTCTGGTACCCTGCATGGTGGTGACTGCGGAAAAGCCTGGCCAGCCGCCTGTCTTAGCCTCACTTTGTTTTCCTGAAGTGCCCCTGATGCTTAGTGTTTATCATTACTTTTGTGGAAACTGCCTTGCTTGAAAAGAAATTTTATTATGATATTTGGTATGGTTAACCGACAGGTTTCTCTTGCAGTGGTCATATACACGCATTCTTGTTTTCAGAGAAAAACATCTTAGGAAAAAAAAAATAGACTCTCCTAAAACATAAACAGGTCACAATTGATGTTAACTGGGCAAAGGCAGATTTCAGCCATCATGGTAAAATAGCGAGTTTACGTTTACCTACAGCACTGTCTCAGCCTGAATGAGAAAGATGATTTCAGCCACTGAAAATAGTGTATGGCCTCCGTGAATTGGTGACAATAGAAGCACCTGACCCACTTCTCCTCCGCCTGGAGGGGCTCGGAGGTTCGGCCAGCTGCAGACTGGCCTTTCCCTCTCCTCATCTTGCTCTTGCATGCAACCCAATGAACTGGGACACTTGCTGCAGTGTTCTCCCTGGCTATAAAAGCCCACCCTCTACTGCAACATGACTGCCGCCAGACAGGATGCTGTCCCTTCGCCACTGATTTATATATAAAATGTGTATAAAACAAACACAACATTTAGATACATGATTCATATCAAAGGATTAGTGAACAAGGGTACATGGGAAACCCTTGCCATCTTAAAGAGTATTTCTTATATTATGGGTAATTTCTGGAATACTAAAGAACTAATGTGAGAGAAATTCCTTATGCTTAAGGTGACCAAAGAATGTGAATCTATAAAAGTGTGTTAAAATTCGTAACAGAGTTGAGAAATTCAAGGAGAAAACAAAAGTGAATGATGCAATCAATTAAAATTTAACACAATATTGGTTGTACAATCAATAGAACAAAAATCTAGAATACAATTCCAGTTGAAAACTGTGTTATAGATGATTACAAGTGCAAGACTGTTAAAGAAAAGGTAATAGTCCATCATTTATTATGTAAATCCAAAAGTGCATCAAATGAAAGACTGGAAAATGATCCAGAATTGCCTCAAGCACTAGCTGTTATTTAGTACAAGTGTATTTTCAATTTAAGGAGACTTGTTTTCTTCCAGAATGTGTTTTACCTTGAACCCAGGGAAGCTATTTCCCTGTGGTCTTAACAAAATAATGTAGCACTTGGGGGCAAAGATGCAGCCCAGCAGCCCTGCACCAGAGGCCAAGATGGAGAAGACCTCCATGGCCACCATCACCTTCCCCTTGCTGCTGTGGTACACGGGGAGGAAGGTGACCCACACACTGCAGAACACCAGCATGCTGAATGTCAGGAACTTGGCTTCATTGAAGGTGTCAGGCAGGTTCCTGGCCAGGAAAGCCACAGTGAAGCTGAGCAGGGCCAGGGAGCCCAGGTATCCCAGGACACAGTAGAAGGCAGTGAGGGAGCCCTTGTTGCACACGATGATGATGTGGCCATGCTCAGAGTGTGCATCTGTGTCAATGTAGGGTGGATTTGTCCCCATCCAGATGCCACAGAGAGTGAGTTGGATCAGGGTGCAAATGGGGATGACATAGTTTGGTGCCCCTGATACCAGCAAATGCCTCATCCTTCTTCCAGTGACTTTAAAGGCCAGAACCACAGTAATGGTCTTGGCCAAGACTGTGGAAACAGTCACAGTGAAGACAACTGCAAATGTGGTCCACTGGAGGATGCAGCTGGCTGTGCTGGGACGGCCAATGAAGAGCAGGGTGCAGAGGAAGCAGAAGGTGAGGGAGATGAGCAGGGTGTAGCTGAGAGCCCGGTTGTTGGCCTTGACAATGGGAGTGTCTCGGTGCTTCACAAAGAGCCCAAGGACAGCAGCTGTGAGGACAGGGAGACTCAGGGCAGTGCCAGCCAGAACTTTCCCCAAAGGATCTTCATAAGCCAGAAAGATCACAGCTTTTTGTAGGCAGTGGTTTCTCTGAATGTTGGCATATTGGTGATCTAAACATTTCATACACTGCTCCATATCTAGCAAAAATTGAAATTGTCACTTGTCTAGGTGTGTTATTTACTTTTTTTTTCCAAAATGATTCCAAGAAACTTACTAGATTTGAACTAAATTATCAATTTTTTAAGTTTTTGTTTTCTTTTTCAATGTGTGGGATTCAACTGGGAAACGTTGCCCTCAGATATAGCCCCAACCCTTTTTAATTTTATTATTTTAAGAAAGCATCTCCTTAATTCACTCGGTTGCCAATGCTGTGTTCCCACAGAAAATCCTCCTGCCTCAATCACCCAGAGCCATAGATTCCAGCCGTACATCATCACACCTCACTTTTGCATTTCTTTCTAGATGCAAGGTAAAAGAACAGTACATGGAGAATAACTCTTGTATAATGCTGTTTGTTATTTATTCTCCTTTCAAAGTCTGGCATGTGCATGAAAACTTTCTACTTTTGCAAGGTAATAAAGGATGCAACTTTACTACCTCTCTTACGTCACTTATTTCATCTATATCAAAACTTTATAAATCATTGACCAGATTTTCAATGAACAATCTCATATTAGGTATCCAGCATGCTTGTTATGTCCCAGGAAAATAACTATGAAGAAATGCTGAAAGAGAAATTGTTTCATTATTGAGCCTATCCATCTATGAACATACTTTCTAATTTTATTTAATTTTTATTGTCAAAAGAATATTTCAATAATTTAATTATAGTATCTTTCAAAACCATTACAGGACGTATCACTCCATATTTAATGAATTTAAAATGTTACAAAAATCAGTCAGGGATTTAGCTCAGTGTTATAACTGGCTGATGGCAAACTTTAGGTCATGAACTTGATTCCTGGTAACAAAAAAAAAAGTTACACAAATCAATTTTCCAAGTTTTATTTATAAGCACTTTATGACTAAGGTGTGGAAACAAAGTTTCATTTTCTTATAATCTTGTGTTCCATTACCAGGAAATTCATTTTATTTATTTACATGATTTTTATACCTAAAAATTACTCTCAGTGGAAATATCTGTCATTCAAGTTTCTCCCTTTTTTGTGTGTGTTTCCTTCGTTGCACTGACTGTGATGTAGAGTGTGGTAGAAGTGTGATAGTGAAAATTGTTCTCTCATTGTTTCTTTCAAAATTAAACACAAATTGTACAGTATGCTATAGGATAAACGCCAATACTGGGGGGCAGTTACAGATGTTCTCCTACAACTCATTTGGTAGCAAATAATCTTGTAGTTTTTAAATTACAGTGATGTCCAACTTTGTTATATATTACCATTTAGAAGCACTATTTTTATTTTACTAGGAGCTAGTCCTTTAACTGTGTTTTATAAACTGAGTTTGCTCATGGTCTACCGTCCTGAAATATATAACTCAATTTGGAACAGCACTTGTGAATTTACTTTAATAAGGAAAGTAGACTGTGAAACTTTGTTTCTTCTAGGCACAGTATCAGCTATGAGTATGACAATTTAGTTCCTGACAAAATGACTTGATTTTCCTCTTCCTCTGCTCAGAAAGAGTGAGTTCAGTACTAATATATTTTTAATGCTCATGCATTTCCTGCTAATATTGTTAATCAACAAATATTTGGAGTGAAATGTGACACTATAGGTCCTATAGGTTTACAGACATGGTACTATGGAGATACTTTACTGCTATGGAGACTTTTACTTTTTCTCTTAGGGCTGTTTTGCTGTTTTCCTATGATTTTAAGGATTTCAAGGCATAGAGTGATGTGAAATTACTTATTTTTCTGTAAGAAAATTTTTCCATGTAATGGTACTAATGGAGAAATTTCTGTCTTGATGTTAGCTTTACATTTTTCTTTCTCTTTTTCATGAATTGTACTCAGAGTTGTCATTTTTCTAACCAGAATCACATTTAACTGTTCATTTTCTCTCTGTCTTAATTTTTTAATTATTGCCTTCAGATTGAATCCCAATGTTCACTTCTTTGTATTCAATTTTCTTTACTGTTTTCTAGTGTGTAATGAATATTTCAAATGCAGAACTTTAGCTTTTTTACTTAAATATAGGAGTGCACAAAAGTATAGGTAATATAAAATGAATATTTGTCTCAGTGTAGTATTAGCTTCAACTATCAGAATTTTCAGTTGCACATGATTTTTAACATGTGCCTTCATTTATTTTGTACTCTATGTATGATTAACAATTATGCATGCAAGAAGTATTAACTGATTTAGTGGGTGCATTATTCTCTATATGTGCACATACAACATTTTATAAAAAGTACCATATTCCCATACTTTATAGGAAATATAGATTCCAAATCACTATGTGACACAGTACATAGTCAGTCTTGATGTATTTCAGAAAACATCTGAAGTCATACTAAATACATTTTGAAATCAAAACGTACCAATCTCTGAAAAGAAGCAAGTGAAATAAAAAAACAACTCCATAAGTATATAGAGGAAATCAAATTAGAAGTAAGCTCTCATGTAAATAATAACCTTAGTAAGGGAGTTGCTCAGCACTGCTAGAGAAGAAATACATAAACAGAAAGTACAGGAGCACGTGAAACGGATTGAAACCTGAATGAACAAGATGGAAAACAAGCAGAATTCATGAAACAAACCCAGAGAGACATCCAACAAACAAAGAATTCTCTTAAGGGCTGGCAAAACTGTTTAAATGAAGCTGAGGACTTCAGACGTT